GAGAATGGTCTCAGAGGCAGAGGCTTTCTTTTTTTTTTCCTTGACAAAAACAATTAGAGCCAGAAATGATATTCTAAATTAAAGTAAGGTCACGTAGAGCTAGAAGACAGATATGAAAAGCACTCTGTGGTGTTGTATAATCAGCAGTTCAAACCCACTGCTCCTTGAAAACCTTATACATGGTAGCTATGAATCGGAACTGACTCAACGACACTTAACAACAACAACATCATCATCAACTAAATCATATCTGGTGATGGATATGATATAAGAACAATTCTATGAGCCAGACAACAAAAACAACAAGCAGGACAAATTTGAAGAAAACCTAGACATCAGTTTCAAGAAATGGACAAAGTCCTTTCTAAAATATAATGCATGTGACAAAGGTGTTAAAACATAAGAATGTTTTCTCTAAGTCTTATAGTTTGTGATCGAGTGATGTTGAGAGCCTTTTAAATGTTGAAATGATTTCAGATTAAATGAACTATAGGGAAAGCTAAGTGAAAATGTAAACATTATTTATTATGGTATTGTTGGGAATTTAACCTTAAAATAATGTTTCAAGATAATTTTAATATCTGTGAATCATTGGTGTAACAGGAAGAAAACTTTTGTTATATAGAATTTAAACAGACAAAAGCAAAAAAGGTGATACGTATGTAGACATATATACAAAATAGTGAGATAAAAAAAATACATTTCTCTTTAAAAAAAGCAAAGCAAAATGCACTGTCAAATTTCTTTTCACAACTGGATAGTCCAGTATCCTCTGTTCTACTGGCCTCAGCAAAGCATTTATTTGTGTGGGTTCAGGCTTTATTTTCATCCCAAACTATTTAAGTTGGAAAAATACTGCTACTGTTTTTGCTCCTAAAGTCAAAGATTATTTTAAGCAGAGGGAAAATGAGAAGTACATAGGGGTTGTTACTTATAACAAAAAGACTTGCAAAAAGGTATAAACAAATAAAAAGTGAAAGAAGTACAATTTCAAGCAGTGTTGCTCATTGTGTCTTGGTTTCTGAGACATTATTCATAGAGAAGTTTAGAGTAAATATAATAATCTGATGCTGTGACATTTGGGGGAAGCACAGTGGCTCTGTACAATAAGCACTGGACTTTGAACCACAGGGTCAGCAGTTTGAGCTCATCAGTAGCCACTGGAGAAAGTTTGAGTTTTCTGCTCCTAAAAAGATTTACATAGCCTTAGAAACCCTATACAGGGCCACTATGAGTTGGAACTGACTCAAAGGCACTTAACAACAACAGCAACATGACATTTCGATTGTATCTTACAAAAACATCAGTCCAAATTTGATATTAAAAACAAACAAACACAAAATTGGTCTTTTACCATATTTAATAAACACTGGGAGCATTGAGTGCAGATAGGAGTTATACATCTTAGACAATGTATATAAGAAAAACTAGAATAGGATTCCAACAGTTGCTTCTCGCTAGTATTACTCTTTGGCAATTGCTGAGGAGTTCTTTAATGTAGTGTGTATTTGGGCCTTTAAGTCTCTTTTATGTTCCTTCTTTGGGTAAGGGTGTATTTTTTTATTTACAGTATACTAGAAAGAACTCTCATAACTGCCTAATACTGACAGTAGAATAGATCTGGACATTCTTTAGACAATTCCAGAATCTTTGTATTAAGGAGAATAAATATGCAGAAATCAAGTAGAGTACAGGTTTTTCAGAGTTCATGTAGTTCATTTTTCAGTCTTATTTAAAGAATCCCTTGTGGTGCTGGGAGTTAGATGTTGGGCTGCCAACTACAAGGCTGGTGTTCAAACCCACCAGTTCTTTCTCAGGAGAAAGATGAGGCTTTCAGCATCCATCAAAATTTACAGTCTCAGAAACATTATATAGGGTTGCTATAAATTGGAATAGGCCAGATAGCAGTTGGTTTGGTTTCTTGGGGGTTATTATTAATCTGTGTAGGATTTTAGATGTCTCTGAAAGCTCAAGTGAGTTGGTGGCGTTATTACTACAGAACTATTTTGTATATACTTATTTTAAAACATCTAGCACTCAAAAAAGGAAACAAAAGATTCTTCCTGGAAAACTCTAAATAGCTTGGCATTGTGGAGCTAGTAACAAAAGGAGATGAATAGAACAACAAGATATCTGAATTGACAAAGGGAGAAAAACAGTGGCCAGAGAAACTGTAGAAATACAGATTTAAAAGGGAAGAACATGCTCAGCGTTTCTCACACTGAGGAAACTGAATCAAAAATTTAAACCTTGACTTGTGTTATTAAAGGATCTATGGGCCAAAATTGAATGATGGACAAAGCATCAAAAGAAGATGAAAGAAATACAGAGAATCACTTTACCAAAAAGAAATGGTCACTCTTCAACCATTTCAAGAGGTAGCATATGATCAAGAGCCAGTGATGCTGAAGGAGGAAGTTCTTTGATAGCCCATGTGAACAAAGTTTTACTGAAGGTAATACAGAAACTGCTGCAACCATACATTGACAGTGAACTTCCAGAGACTCAAGCTGGTTTCAGAAGAGCACATGGAATAAGGGATATTATTGCTGATGTCAGATGAATGTTGGCTGAAATCAGAGAATACCAGGAAGATGTTTACTTGTGCTTTATTGACTATGCAGAGGCTTTCAATTGTGTGGATCACGACAAGCTGTGGACAACATTGTGATGTATGAGTACTCCAGAACACTTAATTGTGCTCGTGAGGAACCTGCACATAGACCAAGAGGCAGTCATTCGAACAGAACAAGGGAACACTAAATGGCTTAAAATTAGGAAAGGTGTGTGACAGGGTTGTATTCTTTCACCATACTTATTCAATTTGTATGCTGAACAAATAATCTGAGAAACTGGATTATATAAAGAAATTGTGGCATCAGGATTGGTCGGCAGAAGGCTCATTAACAACCTGTGATATGTATATGATACAACCTTGCTTGCTGAATGTGAAGAGGACTTAAAATACTTATTGATGAAGATCAAAGACCACAGCCTTCAGTATGGGCTGCACATCAATGTAAAGAAAACAAAAATCCTCACCACTGGACCAAGAAATAACATCCATATAAATGGATAAAAGATTGAAGTTGTCAATGACATCATTTTGCTTGGCTCAACCATCAGTACTCAGGCAAATCAAATAACATATTGCACGGTGTAAATCTACTGCACAAGGCCCCTTTAAAGTGTTGAAGAGTAAAGATGTCAGTTTGAGGACCAAGGTGTGCCTGTCTCAAGCCATATTTTCAGTAGCCTCATATGCATGTGAGAGTTGGATAGTGAATAAGGAACACCATAGAAGAATTGATGCATTTGAGTTATGGTGTTGGAGGCAAATATTGAAACTACCATGGACTGCCAAAAGAACAAACAGATCTGTGTTGGAAGAAGTACAGCCAGAGTGCTCCTTGGAATCCAGGATGGCCAGACTTCATCTCTCAAAATTTGGACATATTGTCAGGAGGGACCAGTTGCTGGAGAAGGATATCATGTTTGGTAAAGTGGAAGGTCAGAAAAAAAGAAGAAGACCCCCAACGAGATGGATTTGCACAGTGGCAGCATCAGTGGGTTCAAACATAGCAAAGATTGTGAGGTTGGCCCAGTATTTCATTGTGTTGTGCATAGGGTCGCTATGAGTCCATACTGACTCGATGGCACCTAACAACAGCAACAACAACGCGTTGATTTTTATCCAGAAAAAAAAGCCTGGGTATGGAGGAAGACAGTAGTTGTCCTCCAATATCTCAAGGACTTTCAAGTGGAAGGACATTATAGGAATTTGTTGTTGTTGTGTGCCGTTGAGTCAGCTCCGACCCATAGCAACCCTGTGCAGGGTTTCTGAGGCTGTAAATCTTTACGGGAACAGAAAGCCTCATCTTTCTCCCGCGGAGCAGCTGGTAGTTTCTAACTGCTGACCTGGTGGTTCACAGCCCAATTCGTAACCACTACGCTACCAATATTTAGCTATAAAAATATAACATATATGAAAAAAATCATACATACATACAAAAGGAAGACCATAGAAGAATTGATGCATTTGAGCTATGGTGTTGGAGGAGAATATTAAAAGTACCATGGACTGCCAAAAGAAAAAACAGATCTTTGTTTGAAGAAGTACAGCTTGAATGCTTCCTGGAAGCCAGGATGGCTATACTTAGTGTCTCATGCTATGGACATACTGTCAGGAGGGAACAGTCCCTGGAGAAGGATGTAATGTTTAGTAAAGTGAAGGGTTGGAGAAACAGAGAAAGACCCCTAGAGAAATGGATTGACACAGTGGCAGCAGTGATGGGTTTAAATGTAGCAACAATTGTGAGGTTGATGCAGTTGGTGCAAGACTAGGTAGTGTTTGGTTTTGTTGTGCATAGGGTCACTATGAGTCGGTACTGACTTGATGTCACCTAGCAACAATAACAACAACTAAAGGATAATGAGCAATATGATTTGTTACATGGACGAACTTTCGAATCTTAGAGATAGGCAAAGGTGGATTAGGTTATGATTGGTGTAAAAGAGTTTTCTGGTGTTATTATTGTTCAAGACTAGGTTGAATGACTGTTTGGCAAGAGTTTTTGTCATTTACTTTTCAAATAATGGAATCCAAAAGATTTAAGTGAATAAACTTGGACACTAAGAAAATATGTGGTGAAGCAAGAACTGGAATTCAAAAATGACCTGGTTTCCAGTATCAAGGTAATGGTGGTGGTGGTGTGTCATGGAGTTGGTTCCAAGTCATAGTGACCCCATATAGGTTTTCTGTGGCTGTAAATCTTTATGGGAGCAGAAAGCCTCATCTTTCTACTGCAGAATGACTGGTAGTTTCGAAATGCTGACTTTGAGGTTAGGAGCCTAACTCATAACCACTACGCTACCATAGCTCCCTTTGAAATTAGACTTTAAATCTCCATTGTAGCCCTCTCCTGGAGATGATGTGGTATAATGAAGAATGTGATTCAAATATCAAAAGTTCAAGTATGCTATTTGAACCATACACTTCATTATACCATGTCTTCTCCAGGAGAGGCCTGCAAAGGAGATTTAAATTATAAATGAACATTTTATTTGAAGATTTTGAAGGCACCTTCCTAACCTGAAAGTACAAATTTTTCAAAGGAAAAAAAGTCATATTACATTGAATATGACCTAAGTTAAAAATGAGGATGTCTATTGCATTTTTAGGTATCTGTTCATGTAAGTGAAATTTCTATACTTACTAGGAATTCTGGTTCTGGATCAGGAATTGATCTTGAAAACTTCTTGCTGAGTTTCCTCTTCTTCTTCATCACATCTTGCATGTCCATAATACGTTTAGTTGTGGACTTTAGGAGGATTCAATGAAAACAAATAATATCTTTTACAATGCAACAAGGTAACATAACTGATTATAATTTTGGTTTTTTGTCCATAATAAACAAACCAGTACATATGTATTACATAGCTAGACAGAAGTAGAAGGAAGAAATCTTTCTTTCAAATGTGTGGTTCCTAGATGAAAAAAGCACAGTGGAGTCTCAGTTATCAGATTACAGTATTTACTCTGGATTCTTACTGTACCAACTGTGCAAGTAACTGAGATAGATGCAAGATTCATGGATACATGTGTTTGGTGGTGGTTTTGTGCCATGGAGTCAATTCCGAATCACAGAGACCCTGTATAGGGTTTCTGAGGCTGTAACTCTTTACGGGAGCAGGAAGCCTTATCTTTCTCCTGTGGAACTGCTGGTAGTTTCAAACTAGCTGACCTTGAGGTTAGCAGGCCGACTTGTAACCTATACGCTATGTATATTTAAAAGGGAATGGTCATTTAAAAACAACAAAGGGATTTTTTTTTTAGAAATAAGAAAAGAAAACCTAGGTGCATTCTACGTTGCTGTTAAGTTAAACCTTATCTAGTGACCCTGTATAGGGTTTCCAAGGACTCGTTAGTGGGTTTGAACCTTAGACCCTGTTATTAGCAGTCCAGTATTTATCCTGCAGTGCCACACCAGGAAGGAATCCAGGTGTATTCTTTACTCTTCTTAAACGTTACATATCACCCACCGCTTACTATATCTTATGGCAACTCTGAAGGACCATCAAAAAGTTGGTGACATTTATTAAAAGATAAAAATATAAAATTTAAACTTTATTTCTTAGCATAAGTTCCATCAAGGTCAAGACACTTTTGAAAGTGATGATACCAGTCATTTTGTCCATCCTTCAAGAACTGAGGGCCCTGGGAATTTAACCATTTAAAACATAGTCTTCTTTTTTACATAATTCATTGAAGAAAAATGGGTGCATTTAAAATAATTTTGTAGATTAGGGAACAAAAAGAAATCAGTAGGAACCAAATCAGGACTGTATTATGCTTATTAATTTTCCTGTCAAAACTCGTGCAAAATTGTCCTTGAAGTGAGGAGTGAGCAGGAGCATTGTTTGTGGTGGAAGACTCTCTGGTGAAGCTTTTCTGGGCATTTTTCTGATAAAATTTAGGCTAACTTTCTGAAAACTCATAAAAAGCAGATGTTATCATTCTTTGGTTCTTAAGAAAGTCGACATGCAAAATGCCCTGAACATCCCTCAAAAGCTATTACATGACATTTGCCTGTCTACTTTTGCTTTGCCTGGATCAGTTCCACCTCTTTGTAACCACTGAACGTTGATTGTACATTGTCTTCAGAATTGTACTGGTAAGGCCTGTTACAATTCTTCAAAGAAATGCTTCAAGATCTTGATCATACTTGTTTAGAATTTCCATTGATAGCTCTGCTGTTTGTCTGCAGCTGGTCTGAGCACAATAGTTTTGGCACTCATGGAGCAGAAAATTTGCTCAACGTTTTAAAGTTTGCTTAATTTTTCAGTCAGAATTGTGTAAGCTGAACAAATTGGTGTCGGCTATTGTTTCTGCTGCTAATTGTCAGTCCTCTTCAACTAGGGTATGTGCAAGGTTGTTTCCACTCAAATTGGTGTTTCCACTCAAATATGCCCCTGTGGGCTTCATCTTCAACACTGTCTATTCTTCAGATGCGTTATCTATTTGTAAACTGCTGAAATTTGCTTGATCCTTTGTTTATAAAGTTTTGAAACTGATTTAAAAAACAAACAATGTAGTATTAAAGATAGATATGTGAATCTGACAATCATTTGGTTTAGTATATCTGAAATTACAAATTGAAGAACATTTCAAGATTTATCTTGAAGTACAATGCTGTTTGCTATAGGAGAATATCCATGCACCTACAAAGAAGACCAATTAATACCATTATTATTCAAATGTATGCACCAAACACTAATGCCAGTGGTGATGAAATTAAAAAATTCTTCCATTTTTGTTTGTCTGAAATTTATCAAACATGCAATCAAGATGCATCGATAATTACTGGTGATTGGAATTCAAACATTGGAAACAAACAGGAAGGATCAGTAATTGGAAAATATGACTTTGGTGATAGAAATTATGCTGGAGATCACATGATAGAATTTTGCAAGACTAATGACTTCTTCATTACAAATACCTTTTTAAAACAACATAAAAGATGACTTATTATACACCTGTACCTCACCAGATGAAGTATAGAGAAATCAAATTGACTACATTTGTGGGAAGACATGGTAGAAAAGCTCAATATCATCAGTCAAAACAAGGACATGGACCAACTGTGGAACAGACCATCACTTGCTCATATGTGAGTTCAGGCTGAAGTTGAGATAATTAAAACAAGTCAACGAGATCCAAATTATGACCTTGAACATACCCCACCTGTATTTAAAGATCATCTTAAGAACAGATTTGATGCATTCAATACTAATGGCCGAAGACCAGAAGAGGTGTGGATGACATCAAGAACATCATACAGGAAGAAAGCAAAAGGTCATCAAGAAGACAAGAATGAAAAGACCAAAAGCAACTCTGAAACTTGCTTTCCAGTGTAGAGATGCTAAAGCAAAAGGAAGTAAAAGAGCAGAACAGAAAATTTCAAAG